GGCCACCCACGTGCACCTAATTCCATGTAAGCTTGTAATTTCACCCTAAGAACCACTGGATAAAAATACAGTCAACAGGTGAACACAGATCTTAAATGGCTGATTAAAACAATACATCTGGAACCATTTTATAAAGGCTTTCAACTATATCTGCTAAAAACTGTAGAATCCATTCGACTGTGAAAGGGATCAAACCTGAAATAATGGAACAGCGGGAAAATTATCAGGGGATCAAAACAGTGCTGAGTTTTCAACTTGTTTCTGAAAGGGTGAGATCTAGACACTACCATCTTATCCTCAAAATGAAAAAGACAAAACTTTTGCAGGATTAAGTCAATTTGATCTGAAAAGTGGTATCTCCACTAACAGAAATAAAATTTCTCAATTTAGAAATTCAAATGTTCTCATATCAAGTTGACTCAGAAAGAAGTACTATTAGTGGCATCTAGTTAATCACCTTACTATATATCTCCCCTTTGAAGCAGGTACTCAAACTCCTAATCAGCCTGAATTACCCAGTAGATTCTGATTAGCAGAGAACCTGTGAGAGAGCAACTTCACTTCACTGTGTGCTCATGCTAAGTCAGATGCACAGCATGGCTTCTACTTTCCAGTGCTGTGAAAGTGTCTTACACAGAAGCATGCTAAGGTAAGATCAACATATTTTTTTACCAAAAGAATGACCATTTAAGCCCTAGTCCTCCAGAATACTTTCTGTCTACACTGCCTGCTGGACCACTCCGTGGGAAGGAGCTCACATCTGAACGATCACGCAACAGTTCCCTGGATTCCAGTTGTTTCTCAGAATCAAGCCAATACCAAGTACTTTACAAATGAATTCTAACAATTCCAGCTTCCTGGTGGTAAATTAAAGATATGCTTGGAGTCCTTCCAGCCTGCCATAATTTTTCAGTTTATCAATCAGACATGGAGATATATATACGTCAGTTATTTCTAAATCCAAAAGCAAGGATCACGGAACTTTTTAATAAGATGCTCACATCAATACCAGTCCTGAATAGGAATTCCTGAATAGGAATGCCTTAAACAGTCACTTCTGTTCTTCTATCAGGAATCGAATGCCCTATGCAGATGTCCTTATAAGCAAGTGAAAAGCCACAGTCATTACATGTCTTCCCAGCTTTTTATCTGTTAGTTCCAAGAAAAGAAATTGTGCTAGAACACAGGATGCCCATTAACTCTCCCCACAAAATAAGGAGGATATACAACCTATACCTCGTAAGGAGATCAAAGTGTTAAATAATTTCTGTATGTCCACGCTTAGGACAGCAGAATGCTTTCATTTCTCACTGATGGATGATAAAGTTCTGAGAAAGCAGTTGCTGTAATAGCAATATATAGCACAAACAATAGTTTCAGCAGTCAGTTCAAGGCAGTGTGTTTTTCACTTCTTTTTTTCCAGGGCACACTGGATAATTTTTGTCAAACTGAATAATTTTTGGAAAAATTTCATCTGCAGTTATTCATCTTTCTCTCATTCTCTGCTAAAATAGCCTTCTCTGAAGGTGCAGCACATGTTGCTGCAATAAGAGTGATGTTTAGGAAGCTGAATGCCAAACAGGAATACTTACTATTTAAATGTCACAGTCAGCTACTATGATACAAATGTGGGTGTTGTAAGTGATAGTTGGCTTCTTATTCCTCACTTCACGTATATTACAAAGAGCAACTACCCTGGCTTCCTGGTGGATGTAGTAGATAGTGACTGTAGTGCTTTTCTCCAGAATCAAGAAAAAGGTGGAGCTACAGAGAAGACCAGAAGAGTTACAGATAAGTTATAAAATTAACAGAGAACTCCAATGTTTCCAAAACACCAGCAACAGTAGGAAAGTATAAAGTCAGGCATGAGGTTTTCCTTTGGAACAGCAAGTTGTGCAGCAGAGACACTGCACGGTGTAACACAGTGGGCAGACTTGAAAGGCCCAGGAAATACTGCCTCGTCTTGCATCACACTGGCCTTCATCCCAGTATACTGAACTGTTACAGTTCCAGGTCTTAAATTAACTGACAAAATTTGTAAATTCAAGCAGAAATTACACAAAAATCTTCAAAAAGCTACTCCACCTTTGGCATCTTGCCTCCCTCCACAAATTCAGAGGTGAGGCTGCTCGTGAGAGCTAGATGTCACTAAGCAGAAGTGTAAGTGCTGGACATCAGTAACAGCACCATGACTCCCATTCTCATGATCACTTTCTGACCAGCCTCACCAACATCCACAGCACTTCTTTCATCACCGCCTGTTTTGGCAGGCAGAAACTTAAGACCCGGTATGATTTCACGTAAAATTACTGGTTTCATATTCTAGGCCTAAGTAATAATGGAAAACACATCTAATAATAATTTATAATGTTGCATGGCTTTTTTTGTTCAGAGGAGGGACCAGGAGGGCAGTGGAAATAATGCTTAGGCTACTAAGTCTGCACAGATAAGATCCTGACCAGTTCACAAATGTTCCACTGTGCTGGGGATTTTGAATTGCTATCTGTTTTTTGGTGGATACTCAACTCCTCTAAAGGAGTCCGAAGGAAAACATCTCGGCTTACAAAACCTGGTCTGTTAATGTCCAGTCATCTGTACTGAAAAGCATGGAATGAAATTAAATGTTTTCTGTAGCAGTATAATTGTGTCCCAAAACAATGAAACATTGGTGAATGAAAGCGGAGCAGAAAATTCTCAAATTATTGTTCAATCTAAACCCTTTTAAATGTCAGTAATTGGTATTGATTACAGGTTTAAAAAAGAACTATGGAAGGTCATTAAAACTGAAACATAGTATATCATGTAACACTGGATCATAGATCACTACAGAGAGAGGTAGACTTTCTAGTAAACATTCCAGCATCAGGTCTGTATTTTCCTATCACTGGACAGCATAAAATAGCTCCCAAGAATATAGGTGATACATGAACCTAAAATAATCATTAAATCTCCTCTAGAGGCTATGTAGGAAACAAGCGAGATGATCCTCCAGCTGTCTGTAAACAGCTCCTGTGTCTTCTAAAACTTGCAGAATGATCTGGATATGAGCCAGCATCATACCTGGCTTTTTAAACCTCCATTTACAAGTTTTTGCTGTCCTTTGGCATTGTCCATCACATTCATCTATGCTAAGTACTACTTTATATTGCGGTTTTCGGTTACTGAAGTAAGGGAAATTGCTTGGTATGCAGTATGATGAGCTCTGAGCAAGAGTAGCAGACCTTGAAAGATATATTTATGTATCAATACCTGCATCCAGTAAGAAAGTGGTCCCCAACTTAATGCCTACAGGTTACATGCAAGACCAGTGCTGCGTCACCAGCCATATAAAAATCAAAGTTGAATGAAGAGGGAGGGACGAAACAAGACTTTGCTCTGTAGCCTCCTATCTGCACAGTGTTTTGCCTATAAATCAGCAAGCTGGGGATCACTGAAGTAAGCTCTCTTGGTTATTATTTATTTAACTAGATTGGACCATACCCAAATGACCAGAAGGAAAACACTAAGAGATCTGTCTTCCCCAGTGGAGAGGCTAATTCAGCACTGTAAAAGCCCACAATTTGCAGGAAAGCATGTGTAAGACAGACACGCACCAGATTTACAAGAACAAACCTCTTCCTTGCTATGAAGCTATAAAGAACAGAAGGGAAATCTCTAGCTAATTAGGTTAATATCAGCTTATGGCTTCATGTAGAAAGACCAAAAACCCAATAAAACCATCTAGAAAAAAGTATTTTTCTCAGGGATCATTTTTCCCTCTTCCATCTCTTTCTACAACTTTTTGTACTCATATTTATACAACTTGGTGTGCTTTGAATTTACGCCTTAATTAGCACACCGATTTGCTAAATTTTGTTTTTTACTTGTTTCAGGGTGGTGTTCAGAACAGTCTGATAAGTCATACAAATTACTGCCACCAACTCCAAATGCTAAAATCTGAATACTTCATTCTACCTCCACAGCTAAAAATCATGCAGCTCAAACTCAATGCTGTGCCTCCATGATCTAATTTAAACTTTGTAACTATGAAAAGATAATTACTTTAAGCTTTCAGTAAGTGATTTTTTTCCCCTTGGAACTCTCCTTTCTTCATATTCATTCATTTTGAAAGGGCATCCAGATAAAAAGGTAGCTATTTCAAAATGTAATATTGATACCTCATCAGAGTGTATGTACTTACAGTGTTACCCACCCATGCTTAGGGGATGCAGGGAAGTTCAGTGTATCCCGTAGCAGACTTGGGCTTATTGAACAAGATACTTAAGTGCGGGAGAGCTGAGCACGCACACGACCAATGTGATCAAGCAATGCCCGTTTATTACAACTAAGAAAGCCCTTTTATAATGTTCTCCCGCACACGTGAGTAACATGCAGTACAAGTCCTCAAGATTGGACAGTTCACTTAGCCCGTGCTTTAAACCTTCTTATGACTGGATAAAAAGCGCCACATCAGCCTCGCCAGGCTTCCTGCCTTGTGTAACTTCCTCTTCCATCCCAACCCCTTCCGGGGGTTGTTTGTCTCGTCAAGTTTCTCCCCCCTCATTCAGGGTCACATCCTTATTGAATTCTTGCTCAGGCTGAGGCTCTTATCAGTCTTGTTCTCACGGAGGATTGCTCACATGTCCATTCTCTCGCAGAAAGTCCTCTTGAATCCCAACACTTAAGATTCCACCATTGCTACTAGAAAGCGGTATCCTTAGCAAAATATAATGTGACCAGGTGCAAATCAACCCAGGCAGCCAGAATCCTCTTGATAGCAGGTAAAATTCTAAGCTACTAAACAACATATTCCATTAGCAGAGAAACTGCACTGATTTTAGCCATTTAGTATCTTCTAGTTAAGTGTAACTGGGGCTATAATCATGTAGATTAGCATTAGTTTTAGCTTAATATTTTAGCCAGCAGTTCTCCCACAAGTCACCAATCCAGAGAGATAAATATAAAAGGGATGACATGAAACCAGAATTGTATGAGTAACATTTGTATTTGTCTTTCTTTACCTTGAGCTCATCTGCATCATAGAAGTCTATGCGCACAGCAGGGACCATCCATGTCTGGAACAGAGTTGCCAGGATCTGTTTAGCAATTGCATCTGCGATGAGGTGGAAGTGGAGTGGGTTTCGCCTGATATGAGAATGGAGAGAAATGCATTAGTTCAAAGGTTTCTAATTCCTGTTGTAAAAGGACAACATCAGAACTTGCAAAGCTTTATCTAAGACTAAGGTCTCAAGGTAAAGCATACAGCATGTTTGGTGGAGTCCTGCTCTGTATCCTGCTGATACACTCACAATTTGAATAAATGTGACAGCAGAGAAATACTGGATCAGGTTTTGGGTGGTTGTAAATAGTTCCTTTCTTTTCAATGGAATGTGATGATTTACAACAGCAAAGAATGTGGTTCCTTCTACCATCTCCTTAAAAGAAGGCTGAATTAATCCCCCTTTGGGGAATTGAGCTGTGCAAGTGACTGCTTTCAGTTTCTAGGTCTATCTGGTAATTTATCTTTTTGGTAAGTGAGGGTGGAAGGGAAAGTTGAAAAATAATCACCTGAATGAGGTGAAATTCCAGGACCACTGAGTTTACACACATCTTTTCTATAAAGTAAACTTGAGGTATCAACAGCTGTCCTATGGGAACCCAAAATTAGATGTTTCAGGTGAGTGCTTTCTAGATACTGGCATAGTGAATAGGATTGAGATTGTAAATCTCTCCACATCCTTGTTCCTAGAAGGGAGGAAGGGCTGAAGAAAAGCAGGAAGTATCTTACTTCAAAACACCAGACTTGGGTTCACCTCTGTAGTTATAGAACTTGGCCTACGTGAAAAGCTTTACAAAATCACGAAATCATTTAGGTTGGAAAAGACCTTGAAGATCATCTAGTCCAACCATTAACCTAACATTGACCATTAAAACAAGATGAGAGGAGCCAGTATCAACAAGAGTGGCAAGGTTTGAAAAAGAACATGGATTTTTCTACAGTAGTGTGAACTTGGACATCACAAATACCATGTTTAAATCCCTTAACCTTGACTCTGTCTTTGAGGGACAGTAAGCCACAAAGTCTGATCTTTATTCAGCTTCTGTGGTAGGAGTATGAAAACCTGCCAGAGGAAGTTAGTCATGATTTGTAGTCTTGCACGTTTATCCCTAGCTTATCAACTTTCCCTGTCAGCAGAGAAGGACACAGTTTGAAGAAGCCACTAAGAATACAAATGGTTCATTTAGATTTCAGCATTGGTTCACACTTTCTTCAATCCCTGAAGTGGAATAGTGGAGTCTCGTTTCTGTGAAATTTATAAAGGTAAATGGATGTACCTGTTAACTGATACTTTTCATCTAAAAAGAGGAGCATTTAGTTTCAGATGGTTAGAGTGGAAGATGACTGGTGCTACTATATTCTACTGTGTGAACAAGAAGTGAGGAAGTCTATGCTAGTTCAGGCCAATGTACTTCCATCACACTTTTAGGCTTAACCCAAAAGATGAAGATTATTTCTTTCTCCATTTTCTGCATTATTAAAAAATATGTGCCTTTTTCTTCAATGCTACTCATCTTGCTTTGATGAATAATATTCTTTCTCACTGAATAAAGTCTACAAGAAAGCATAACAAAACATATAATAGTTCACAGTATCTCTGCTGGCTTTAGCTGAGAGTTAATTTTCTTCATGGTAGCTATTATGGGGCTGTGTTCTGGATTTGTGCTGTAAACAATGTTGATAACATAGGGATGTTTTAGTTACTGCTGAGTAGTGCTTAGGCAGAGTCAAGGCCTTTTCCGTCTCTCCCACCATCCCACCAGTGAGGGCTGGGAGGAGATTTGGGAGGGGACACATCAGGACACCTGACGCCAACCGAACAGAGGGCTATTCCATACCATATGACATCATGGTCAGCATATAAAGCTGGGGGGAAGAAGAAGGAAGGGGGGGGACATTCAGAATTACAGTGGTTTGCCTTCCCAAGTATCCATTACACGTGATGGAGCCCTGCCTTCCTGGAGATGGCTGAACACCTGCCTGCCAATGGGAAGTGGTGAATGAATTCCTTGTTTTGCTTTGCTTGAGTGCACGACTTTTGCTTTACCTACTAAACTGTCTTTATCTCAACCCATGAGTTTTCTCACTTTTATTCTCTTCCCAACACCACTGGGGGGGTCAGTGAGCGAGCAGCTGTGTGGAGCTTAGTTGCTGACTGGGGTTAAACTATGAAGTATTGTAACACATCTCAGCAAGAACAGGAGATTGTTGTGAGAAGCAATGTATGGCTGGATTATGTGTGTTAGAAACAATGCACCTAAGATCCAAACCAATACCCAGGGATGCCAGTGAAGCTGTTGTATTGGCTTCAAAGGCACTGTGGATCAAACAATGTGCTTATAGGAAAAGCAGAAAAGGGCTGGTTAGAAGCCTTATATATGAGATAATCATAATGGTGGAATAAACCCACAGCTGATCTGCATTTAACAATATCCAAAACACTAAGTCACAACATGCTTTCCAAAAAGACAAAGGTCTTTCAATCTCCAGCTTGCCCTGGAGTGAAGAGGGGAAGTGAGAGGCATAGGCTGCCAGCTGCTGATGTCCCATTACCAAGCTAAAGAGATTACATCAATTATATCTGCTTCACCAGCCCAGCAGGAGAGAAGAAGAGGATCCTGGCTCATGCAGATTCTGCAGTTACAAAACACCTTCCCAAGAAAAATTGGGAAATAGCAGTGATCAGAAAATACAATTTATTAACAGAAAAAAGGCCAAGAGAACCAGAGTACACCACCAGTGGCTTTGGGTGCAGGCAATGCAGTATCTCAAGGCACACAGGTGTTGAATGTCAACATACACATTCCATATAGGTCCCTCTGATTAGCAGGGTCTGAGTCTGGTATCTGGTAGGACTCTTTCCCAGCTGGTGTTCTTTAGTAATTCCTTTTCATTTTTTTCAGGGTCATTTTTCTACATATTGCAAAGTAAAATAAGAAAAGTAAAAAAACAGTTAAAAAGAAGAAAGCTACATCTTCTTTCAAACCATCACTTAGTTAAATGGAATTGATATAAAATATTTCAAGATGAAACACACTAGTTGAAAAGAAAAAAATCTGCTACAAAGACACTCAGATGTTCAGTAGCAGTTTACACTTATCTGAATGACCCAGAGTGTATGAAACTTAAATGGGAACAAGTGGGTGAGATTTTCTTTAGTTCAGCTCCTGCTGGGAAAAAAGAAAAAAGGAGTAGTTGTACTCCTACACAGAAATCTCTTTCAAGTTGTTAGCCTCATTCAGCTGGAAGGAAAGTACGTGTCAGAGGCAAAGCAGAAGATTATCACTTTAAAAAATATATCCCCTAAACAGAATAGTGACCTGCTGACATCTACAACTAAATGTGCATCAGCCAGAGAAAATTTTACTCCGGACAAGATTTTAATTATGTGAAAAGTGAGGTTTCACATGGTGCTAGAAGCCAGCAGAGCACAGACTCAAGCCTGGAAGACCTTCTGAAGGTAAATACTAGCATACAAATAGATGACATCTTTTACCTCTTCTGGTGTCTGCGATATGCAAAGCCTAAAAGATATGGATTGCTTCTACAGTAAGTGTTCATGAAAGAAGTTCAGAAACCTAAAGATCAAACAATATCCATTGTAAAAGATACAGAAGAGACTCTTTAAGATTAGAAAACTTTCTCGAGAAATATGAGAAAGGGGTGTCATCATTATTTGTCTACATGATTGAATCACTAGCTGTAAGACTTAGGGGTGACAATCAGAATATTGTGAAGGATTCTACTGAAAGTTACATTTCATTAGACTCAGATGTTTTGTTGTACCATCTGGTGTCAGTGAAAGCTACTCCACTCTTCAGACTGATCTTCTTTCAGGACAGAGACATTTTGGGATATGAGGTTTATGAAACTGAAATAAAACTGTATTGTTCCTATTATAATTTAAGGGATGGCCATGTGGCAAGCCATCCTTCACAGGCATTTAGCAGTTACAGCTTAAAAAGTTTGGGAAAGGCAGGGTGAGATACCAGGCTTCCAGAGGGAGGTTTGACAGTCCCTCACTTGGGTAACAAGGAAGGGTGGCATGGCATTTGAAGAAATTTAATGAGCAGCTGAAGACACTGAAGTTTGCTAGTGGAAGTTGAGTGGTATGGAACTGGAAAAAACATGATGCTCTGGTTAAAGAAAAGCCCCACTTCTTTCTGTTGTGAAGGCAGGCCAAGTTATGGAAAGGATTTCAATGCTGTGGTTTCCTGCAATAGCAGGGGAGTTAATGAGAACCCAACAGGTTCTTCCCAATTCCCTGAGCCTCAGGACTTCAGGGCAAGACATCTTTCTTGGGTTGAAGGGAACCTGTAATCAAGTTTCAGAGAAAATGATGAACAACACAAACCTCCTCTTCTGTCACTCCAAATGTGACATGGACTTCCTCCGACTTCAACTTTTCTAACCAACTCAAAGCATGGTTGCGTGTTCTGTTTATTTTTAATACATATAACTCATTTTCCACTGGGCATGTCAAGAGAGCCAAAAAACTACACATGGTAGAAGTTGGTTGTATCCTGTACTGCTGGAAAGCACTGTACTGTAAATGCTGACAGTATATGCAACTATGGAATAATATAGGACAATATATGACAGGTTTGATAAGCTTCTCTTACAAAATCAATAGGTTTTGGAAAATTCCCAGTATTCATGTGAATTTGTATGTTTGGAAGTCAAGGTTTCTAGTGTCCTGGTTTTCAGAACAGACAGCCCTTGAAATCTGAGCCCCAGGTCTGCCAGATTTCTCACTATAGAAGCAGGTGTTGAAACATCCAGAAAATTTCTCACAAGGTCCAGAAATATTTAATCTTGTTTATCTCAAAGATTTTGAATATCTGAATTTTTGCCAACTACAACTTTTTACAGCTTCTGCTACACAGAAAATGCTGACTCTTTTATGTCTTAATGTGGAATAATGTCATTTCAAAATACAGGTATTTCCCATCAAGTAGAAACTCAAGCTTTTAACTACTCTATTTAGAAATCTGCAAATCTTCATAAATTATTTCCACTTATTTTAAGATCAGAACACTATCTGACAAAGTAAACCATACGTAAAGAACACACATTTATTTTCCTA